TTAAAAGAAACAATCCTAATTTGGTCAAATCTTTGGTTAAAGCTAATCTCAATGCTTAATAATATTCATATGTATACATTTTTGCAAATTATATATAACATATATAACATTTTGCATTTTTCAATTTCATAAATTGTGCATCAATTTGGTTTGTCAGACTTGAAATGCAAACTGAAATCGAAATATTAATCTTTGTAGATTTTTAAGATGCTTGTTAGCATCATTATAAAATTGATGATCAATCTAGTTCGAGATATTAATGTTTCAGTTAAAATATATTTGCAAAAATTTACATATGATTTACATATTATTAAGCATCAAGATCTGCTTTAACCGAAAATAGGAATATTTTTCTTAATTGATTTAAACAATATATATTTATTATTATCTTATTAATAATAATAATCATTGTTTTACAGACACCAGGCAGGTTGAAGTTGACTGATCAGCACTTGATCTTCAAGAATCAGAAAACTGGAAAAGTCGAACAGATCTCAGCTTCTGATATGGAGATGGTAAACTACCAAAAATTTATTGGAACCTGGGGTCTCCGTATCTTTCTAAAAAATGGTACTTTACATCGCTTCAAAGGCTTCAAAGAATCTGAACAAGAAAAGATTGCCAAGTTCTTTTCTACTAATTATAAGAAAGATATGTTGGAAAAGGAGCTGAGTTTAAAAGGCTGGAACTGGGGTACTGCAAGATTTAATGGATCTGTCTTGAGTTTTGATGTTGGTCATCATACTGCTTTTGAGATACCTCTGTATGATGTGTCACAATGTAACACTGGAAAGAATGAGGTAACATTGGAATTCCATCAAAATGATGACGCTCCAGTCAGCCTGATGGAAATGAGATTTCACATTCCCGTTAGTGACAGTGTTGATCAAGATCCCGTCGAGGCATTCCATCAACAGGTAAGAGAAAATTTAAACGATAGATGGGTGTGTGAATGTATTTGTAGACTTAAAAACAGAGAAGTAATTCATTTCTCAATTACAATAGGTTATGGATAAAGCATCAGTGATCAGTGTAAGCGGCGATGCGATTGCTATATTCAGAGAGATTCACTGTTTAACGCCACGTGGTCGTTATGACATTAAGATCTTCCAGACCTTTTTTCAACTGCACGGCAAAACCTTCGATTACAAAATACCTATGTCCACTGTATTGAGACTCTTCTTACTTCCGCACAAGGATAATCGTCAAATGTTCTTTGTCGTGAGCTTGGATCCTCCTATAAAACAAGGCCAAACGCGTTATCATTATCTAGTACTCCTGTTCAATCAGGAAGAAGAGACATCTATTGAATTACCATTTACCGAAAAGGAATTAAAGGAAAAGTATGAAGATAAACTAACTAAAGAATTATCAGGACCTACATTTGAAGTGCTGGGCAAGGTAAGTAAAAGAAAAACTTTTTAGTTTCCATATTTTTATTTTAATGCAAAATTATTTGTTTATAGGTGATGAAAGTAATTATCAATCGAAAGTTAACTGGTCCAGGACATTTCACTGGTCATACCGGGACACCTGCTATTAGCTGTTCTTTCAAAGCTGCGGCAGGATATTTATATCCACTCGAGCGAGGTTTTATTTATGTACACAAACCTCCAATACATATTCGTTTCGAAGAGATAGCTTCAGTGAACTTTGCGCGTGGCGGCGGATCGACTAGGTCATTTGATTTCGAAATCGAGCTTACGAGCGGTGTAGTACACACTTTCAGTAGTATTGAAAAAGAAGAATATGGTAAATTATTTGACTTCATTACGGCCAAGAAATTGCGCGTCAAGAACCGCGGTAAAAGTGACAAGCCCAATTACGACGAAGATTTTGGTGACAGCGATCAAGAGGACGAACCGGACGCTTACTTGGCACGAGTCAAGGCAGAGGCGCAGGAACGCGATGGTGAGGAGAATCAAGATTCTGAGGAAGAAGGCTCGACCGATGAGGACTTCAATCCTAATCAGGACGAGAGCGATGTCGCCGAGGAATACGACAGCAATCCTAATAGCTCTGACAGCGAGGATTCAGATGCCTCTGCGGCTAGTCACAAAAAGGAGAAGAAAGATAAAGAGAAGAAAGAAAAGAAAGAAAAGAAATCGAAGTCAGCAAAAACTGTATCTGAGAAACCACGAAAGCAGAGAAAATCAAAAAAAGAGAGAGACGAAAACAAGCCAAAGAGACCTCCATCAGCATTTATGTTGTGGCTGAGTAGTACACGTGATAGTATCAAGGCAGACAATCCAGGACTGTCTATAACGGATATCGCGAAAAAGGGAGGTGAGATGTGGCGAGAGCTCAAAGACAAGTCTGAATGGGAAACGAAGGCAGCCAAAGCTAAAAAAGATTATATGGCGTCGATGAAAGAATATCAAACGAGCGGAGGCGGTAAAGAAAAAACTAAAGAAAAGAAGACAGAGAACAAGAAGAAGGAAACGAAAAAAGACTCGCCCAGCAAGCAAATGTCTGGTTCCGGTTTCAAGAGCAAAGAATATATTAGTGATGACGATAGTAGCAGCGATGAGAGTAAGAAATCTGCAAAGGAAAAATCTGATAATGAAAGTGAGGAGGAGAAGGATAAGAAGAAAAAAACTGAAAAGAGGCCAACGGAAGATACTGGAAAAAAAACATCGAAAAAGACGAAACGAAATCAATCCGATGAAAGCGATGAGGAGGAACCTATACAGAGTACTCCATCTTCGTCTGAAGATGAATCTAAAAGTGATTAATAAATGCTGCAGAATTCAGACATTTTTGTCGTTAGTTTACAGTGTTACGCATACACTCATCAAAATGAATATATACATCTCCCTTAAAATTATTATATTTACTATTACAAGGGGATGAGCATTCAAGTGAATTAATATAGTTGTACAACTTTTTAATATTATAAATATATTTTAAAATGCTATATATGTAACTTTTTAATATTACAAAGTATTAATATTAAGATTTGAATGATACGAAAACAAATAACAATTTATTACCATCGTTAAATATATTTATTTTGCTTTTTTCTTTGCATAAATATATCTTCTTTCTCTCTCTTTAAATGAAAAAATACATAAAGGGAAAATTTTTATTTACCAGCTTCATTTCTAAATTATTTATTTCCATGTTGCACACATACAATGACACACTATTTAATTTACAATTGGTTATTCTTCTGTTTGTCTCTATAAAATGTGATTCTTTAAAAAAAAACCGAAATTGTAAAAGTTGTTAAAATTGCACAACTAAATTTGCTGTTAAGCAAATGATGACACATATATATGTATATATATATATACATATATATATATACACACATATTACACAGATACATTATATGTACATACATAATTTCCTCTCTTAATATAACATTTCTATGTTAATGTTACAAGTGTGTGAATATTTGGCAGCAATACAGTGACTAGTTAATAACAAATTATATTATATTGATTAAAATAATCAATTAACCTTTGTTAATAATTATTTCATAATAAAAAATAGGAATGACAAAGTTGCACTGTTTGCATCGCCGATGATCCGTAAGAAAGCTATGTAGAACTGAAATATGAACGTGCGAATGTCTTTTCGTCAACTGTGTGGCTTTTTCTCTTTTTCGGTTTCCAAATAATTTATTTCCATCTCTTTTAATTCAATATGATGCTCCTTCATGGCTTTCTAAAACACGAGAGCACAGAATTATTGACATCATTAGTTCTTTGTTCAAAAATGTTAAGAAAATATTTCTTGAATTATAATCTGACCTATGAGAAGGGAGAGCTTCTTAAGACTTACCGCTACGCAATCTTTATAGACTTTAAGCAAAGGAGCGCACATTGAATCATTGGTATCCCCTTTTAAAAACTTTTCAGAGAACCAACTATTGAAACAGGCGTCGTACTTCTGTTTCAACTCACTGCAATCCTCCATGTTGCACCCTCGCTCTTTTTACCCCCTTGCTCTCTCTCCTCCTTTCATGCGTTATACACTTGCAGATTTCCTAAAGATACAATCCCATTTTAATTACCTTGACACACTGCTGATACATTTTGAATAAATGCGAGCATGTGCTGTCACTCGTATCACCTTTCAAGAATTTCTCGGAGAACCATGTATGAAAACAGACGTCGTATTGTTGCTTCAGATCGTTGCATGCCTCGCCTATGCTATTCATGAATGAATCCGTTTATACTATTCTGAAATTAATATAAATCAGATTTGTCGTTAGCTGGAGGCACAACATACACCAAAAAGACGAGCAAGAAGCAACGAAGGCTGAGTACAAAGAGCACTTTGTATTTAACATTTATAGACGATAGATATGAAGTTCATTGCCCAAGCAGAACAAGTCATTATGATATCAAAATGACTCCAAAAAGATCATTAAAAGTTACTTTTTAATCATTTCCAATTAATTTTAGTGTTATTTTAACGTTATCGTAACTTATTCTGCTTGAGTGTGCTCCAGTGGTACTCGCAATGACAAATCGTAGCGAAAACAGTTGAAAATACCTGGACCTCGGCAGTTTAGAAAAAACTCGAACCGTGCCGGTACAATCTCTCGAGATAATCAGATTATATCTGTAGTGATCTGTAACATAGGTTATGAAATATTCGTGATAAGTGAATTAAAGCTTCTCCTCTGCTTCTTCTTCTCAATTAATGGCTCCTGCCTCTAATAGCGATTTAAAGCGAATCCGCACAGTCCTTATTTGAGTCTCACGCCAATTGGCGGATTTATTACACGTGGTGGCTATTATGTTCGTTCCACATACTGCACTGTACTAATGTACTGAACTTTTTGTGTATAGTACAGAACAAATCCGTAGTTGGTCGTTGCGTATTTGGTTTCGAAGCTTCAGCGCGAAGCGCGCGAGCGTTGTTGAGTCCTTGGAAAATGTCAGATGTATCAAGTGTCGAAGCGTTAATTATTGTTATTATTATTAATTGTTACAAGAACAACCGTGCCCAGATACATCGTGACGCAAACTTAATCGTTTAGCATGACACCGTTGCTTTGGATGATCGTTTTGTGAAACGATCAAGATTCTGTTATTTCTCTAGATCGGAGCATCAATGTTAATATCGATAAGTTCCTGATACGACGGCCACTGTTGCTCGAGGCGAGTAACGATGAGTAGCAAATACAGTCCAGGGAAGATCACTCTGGGAATGATAAAAGGTAAGAAAAGATTGAAAAGTCTTATGTTTTTGATATTTATATTTCTTGATATGCAAGTATATAAAATATACAAATGTATAAAATATACAAATGTGAAAAATCTATGGAGTAATCTATGGATACTTTCCATTATGATACGAGCATCATTCTATCCTTCTTGACATTCAGAAAGTGACAAAGATAGAATGACACTTGTGTTGACTTATATCAACTTGTGTCATCAAATGGAAAGCATAATTTTTATTTTGTGTACTAGACTAACTCTCATATTTTTTCTACTACAGGCAAACCGATCACCACATCAGTGCCAGTAATCCATTACCGAGCCAATGACGATGAATTAGAAGAGCTCTACCCGAGCTCCTCTGATGACGAAAAGCGTCTTACGCCAGAGTCCGACAAGAGGATACCGCCGAGTCCCTCCAAGAACAGCGTGAATGATCAAGGATTGGAAAATGACGCAGAGAGACGTTCTATTGAGGATAACGTGTTTGAAGGTACCTCTCCACCTTCAGATCCATGGAAAGTACTGTTTGACATTAAGGGAAAGATCACGAAAACTTTTGAAGAGAAGATCTCTGAGATGAAGAGCGACAGAAAGAAGAGGAAACGTAATAAGGATAATTCCAGTGTCAGTGACTCCGAGGAGACTCTGGGAGATATCACGCCGACTGATGAGAACATCAATGATAAGCAAGAAAAGGAATTTGCTCGTAATAAGGGTAATACCTCGAGATTTGTAGGTTTCTCGCAAGTTAGAACTGGCCTGAAAACGAGAAAAGAAAACTCTCAAGACGACAGTGTGGAAAGTGGCGTGGAAGCTGCTGAGTTTTCTGACCTTGTTCCTGAGCCACTTCCTTTTGAATCACAAGATGATTTTCGTGCTGAGGAGGATAAGAAAAACAATGCCACATGTCGTCGCAGTTTTTTTGATCAGTCAGATGGATACGTACAAACGAAAGAAGTGAAATTTGACACGTTCCTCTCCCGTATAAAAGATTATGTCTTTCAACAGTTGACAAAACAGTTAGCTACGTTGCTGATTCTTGTGCTTGCTTTCTGTTATCTCATTCCATTGCCTGCCCACTTGGTTGGCTTTTTTATAGGAGTCTTCATCACAATAGTGATGTACAAGCTGATGCAGAGGATCAAAGAAATTTTACAGACGCCGTTAGATAAGAAACTCACACATGTAGTAGTTCCAGTACTAGAAATACCGGCAGCAGAGGAACATGCAGTCCAAGAAAGATATGAAGGATGGTTAAACGAATTGCCATATACGTATGATCCTCACAATTATCATGTAGCACGTACAAAGTCGGTTTTCTTCAGTCTAGAAGGTGGAGTGTTGCGTATTATGGAGACTAGAATGAAAGTACCAAAGAGAGCAGTGTGGGATGAGCAAAAACGAAAATATAAATTTACCAGAAAACGCGAGTACAATCTTAATGGTGCAAAAATAGAGTTGCTACCAGAAGGACTCACTCGGAGAAGGTATGATTACATCATGCATTATTTCATATTTTTATAATATACACAAATAAAATAAAAATATATTTTGTGTACAGGAGATGGAGCAAGAAATATCCTATTTGTATCACGATGGACCAAGGAGCATTAATAGATAGCACGAGTCTGAACGACTGGACGGACCTCGGAAAGGAAACTCTCGAAGATGAAAAGAAAATTATCCAAGTAGATGGAGTCAATCAAGAAATGGATGAAAGTATCTTCGGCGAAGAAACAAAAAGTGAGGATGAAGATTCCAGATTGGAATATTTTAAGGATAATGAGGAGGATGAGTTTAAGATCGACGATGATGAAGATGATGATGATTTTTCACAATCCAAATCTCTCAGGAGTATTTACGAGGATTGTCGCGACAACGAAGAGATTACCAAGTGTAAACTTTATATGTTTGCACGCGCCGATCGAGAGAAGGAAGACTGGTAATCATCTCTTCTAAAATGTCTCTCTCAAATCAATTTAAATATAATAAAGATTCTAATTAAACTTTCTAATTATGAAAGTATAACTTAGAGCTTTGCTTGCTTTATTATCATATCTTAATAAAGAATTTTTCAGGTTTCGTAGATTGATATCAGCGACGTCTCTTTCGAAAAAACGACATTCAATTTGTTCCATAAATGATTCTGTATCCTACGCGAATACACTCTCTGCACAATTGGATGTGGCAGAAACGAAGTCACTAGAGACATCTCCGGAAGTCACTTACAGTACCTATATGAGCAAGTACCTGAATGTAAGCAATGTGATGATTAAGTTAATTTTAGAATCCTTATAATTTTAATCAAGCGATTACCTTTCAGGTGGATCCTGAGGATTCTCCAAAGGAAAACGACGGCCTTTGGATAAATTGTCTTTTGGGACGGATATTGTTCGATATGCATAGTTGTCCAGAAGCAATCAATCTTATTCAAGATAGAATACAACGTAAACTCTCTAACATAAAACTTCCATACTTCATGGAGAGTCTCCTTGTGACAGAAGTAGTAATCGGACATGACGCTCCGATGATTCATAAAGTCTCTAAGCCCGCACTTGACGAGCGCGGACTCTGGTTTGATTTAAATATTACTTATAAAGGCAGCGTAACGATGACCGTAGAGACAAAGTTGAATCTAATGAAGCTAACACGTGCGAGTAGCGTTCCCAGTGATATTGTTGATGAGAAGTCTATTCCTACTAGATCACCAATATTCGATAGCGATGTAGAAGATAGTCCAGAAACATCCACTGAAGATGAAGATATAGGAAACATCGCGTCGAACGTCGCATCTAAAGAGACTACGTAAGTGATTTCCTAATTTAAATCATGGTTCTAATTCATCGTATCAATCTTGCCTTTTGTCTCTTTAATGCTATTGATATTTAATATATCTTATAAATTTTTTTATATTAAAAATGTATACAATTGAAACAACATATGTCCTTTATTCAAAATATAAATGTTCATCTCACAAATTAAAAAAAATATAAAAATTACACGACGAAGTTGTAGATCAATTCATAGATCTTCTTATATTATAGACCAGTACAGTCTTCTGGTAAAAAGTTTCTTAGTATGGTCGACAAACTGACAGCCAACAAATATTTCCGGCACGTAAGTAACACTTAATTATATTTAGATAATCTATTGATCTGTTATCATTAATAATTACGAAAACAGGTTGTAGGCGCTCATTAATTAAATGAATACAACTTTTCTATCACAGGCTACGGAATTGTCATACGTACGGAGGGCAATGGAGGGTGTTTCCAACACGGAAATCCGTTTTATGGTTAGTGTATCCGGCATCGAAGGTTGTCTCTTATTAAATATCCCTCCGCCACCCTCTGATCGGCTCTGGTACGGTTTCAAATCAGTGCCGAAGATCGCTCTCACTGTGCAACCAACTCTCGGCGAAAGGACTGTCAACATTGTATATGTGAGTAAATGGATCGAGAATAAGTTGCTCAGGGAGTTCGAGAAACTAGTCGTTCTACCAAATATGGACGATCTGGTCCTGCCACTCTGTCCAAATTATCCCTTTACCACAACGTAAACGAATCTTGCGCCGGCCAAAAAATAGTTTCCTTTTACAACTTTTATATCTTTTTGTTTTTTTTTTGTATGTTTTGTGAAAGTGTTCGCAAAATTCACTGTTGCATGTTAATCGAAAAATGATATATTTTTCTTTAATATAGTGATTTATTTAAATTAGATAGAAACCTGCGAAAAAAAAGATTTTTAGACAACAATGTAGTTTAAACTATTTTTACATAATTTTTTAATATTATTATCATTATGTTATTTGTCGCAAAAAACCATTTATTAGCCGTATTTAGCATCTAAAAGAAAGTGGGAGGAATTATTGTGATATATTCTTATACATTCTTACATGTATTATTTTACATTTATAAAATTCAAGGAAAAGGAAGGCAAGAGAAACGAAGTTTATAGTACCAGTGAGCATTATTTTTATTAAAATATGTAAAAAAAAAATCTAATGAGCGAAAGAGGTGTCAGGGAGAAAAATAATTAATGTGAAGTGTAAATCTCGCTGTTTATTTTGTTTAGTCACACAGTTGTAAACATTTTTAAATCGAGTGAAATTGATGCTACGCTAAAAAGAGGAAAGAAGAATACGCGTCAGTGTGATCGTTGAATTAGTCATTTAATAGGCAGCTGATGTGAAATATTTTTTAAATTAATATTAAAATTATAAAATAATTAAATTACAGTAAAATTAAATAATCAATGAATTTGAGCAAATAAAATTAGGACAAAATTATCAAAATAAAAAAAAAATATATGTATATGAAACAAGTTAAAAGGTGAAGACTTAAAAGTGAGGTGATTTTTGTGTCATCGTAATTATTATTAGATTTATTATCATTTAATAGTTAGGTTCGTAAAATAATAATATTGCAATTGGCAAAATGAAATAAGAAAAGAAATTATGATATAACATATCAATTATTTTTATCAAGAATAGTAGAATGATCGCACAGATTAAAATATAGTTTAAAAATACAGTTTAAAGTATTAATTGTGCGCTCAGTTTACAAATGAATATATAAATTTTATTTCTCTGTAGTCCGTTGTGAATCAAAAAACTTATAGTCAATGGCTTTTCAACGAATGTAGCAGAAAGATTTATTCTCCTGTCTCTGATTGATCGGCTGAGTGAATTACTCTACTCGTTCAACGACACTAAAGTAAAGAGAAAGCAAAATGTTCATTAATATATAATCGAGTACAGTTTGTATCTAGCCAGCTTGACCTGTAAGCTGTTATTTTGTTTGATACTATACAAATATATACGTGCGCGTTTGTGTATTTGCGTGTCTCAGGGAGATTATATATAGATTAAATTCTGTAGCCACGATGTGATTTCGTTACGGTAGAGTACCATTGATATTTTTAAATATATGGAAATTTTTTTATATCAAAATATATGACAAATTATATCAAAAAGGCCAATTCTCATACGTTTAAATATAAAACTAATTGCAATAAAGCAAATATATTTTGTAAAAGTTTTTCAAACGATGTTCTGTTTGAGACCTCGTACCGTAATCGATCTTGCATGGTTCCAGAATTAAATCGCAGAGGTATATTAAAACAGTTTTTGCAGAAATAAATTATTGTACATTACAATTGTTTCCCTCTTTCTCTCTTTCTCTTCTAGAAATTCTTTTCTAGATAAACTAAGAATACCGATATATTTTGAAACTATCATGTGAATATATGAACGCTCAATTGTTGTATAAATATTATAAATTATATGACTCATCTATCAATCGATAGACAAGTGTTATAGACAATTGTTTTTATTATGCACACATTTTTTATATTAGAGGTATAGAATATGGACAGAAATGCATAATTTTTTTCAAATATCTTCTTTATTGTCGCATATATATAGTATTTTGATAAGAACAGCTATTCCTGTTGGAATTTATATAAAATACTTTTAGTAAATCTATACAAAATTGTTATAATATTGTATGAATATAAACAAAATATGCTCAACTCTGCAGCGAGTCCATGTACTCGCCCAATAAAATTGCAATATATCTAGTATATATTTTTAATCGCTGCACACTTTCTCTTAGCAATAAATGCTAATAGAATGTTATTCCTATATCAATTTTAAAGACTGAGATATTCGTAATAAAATTACAGAAGAATGGAAAAGATTCACGCTTCAAGAGGAACATATATACATAACAAAATCTTTCTTTGCACAATCTCAAGTATATTTGATTTCAATGAAATTTTAGTACGTTAAATTTTATATTTTTATAAAATATGATGAAATGAGAAAATGATGTGAAATAGGATAAGAAAAAAAAGAGAGAAAATAAGAATTACGAAAAGGAAATTTTTAAGGGAAAGAGTGAGCGATGTCTGTGGGATATTCTATACATAATGATTTTTCTAATCTTTAGAACAAATATAAGGCAAATGTGCTTTCCGTTTCTTCGTGCACGTTCTTCCGTGTTCTTCTTAATACAACAAATAATATCACAGTTTGGAGATCGACAATCTGACAGTATGCAATATGTACATAAAGAATGATATTCCCTATATACACGATATCCTTGTACAAACAGACAGTTTTTTATACGATATTATTCTTTTAATGATTGCGTTGATTTCCAATTTCGCAACACGATACTGCAGTCTTATCTATTGTATATCGTGTATATTTCTTTACGACTTTCCAAAGAAAATCACTTTAAATCTCATTAGCTAACTATGAAGGACACAGGGCGCATTGTCCATTTCATGTACAATTTGCATCCACGCTTCCAATCGAGGCGCACATACCAAGGTGAGATCTCCGAGACGTCGTTTGGCCATTATCACAAATTCACCGAGGCCGTGCCGCGCGTCACATACCATTGGTATTCGCACACGCACGCTCTTCTTAAAAGACGCGTCAATTTCATTGCCCTGTAATAATTTGTTGTATTTTTAAGTATTTTGTAATTAACTTACACAAGCTTTAAGCATGACAGAAAAATCAAAGTATATATTGTCTTATAAAGTTTTACCTCAGCTTCCTGGGCTACGTAGCGCAGAATCTTGGTGACCCTAAGTATCAATTCAGCCGTATCCATCTTAGGATTCTGTTCAACGTCAGTGACAGTACCTTTAGCAACCAAGTCGCTTTGACAGTAAGCCTTGGCGAGTTCCTCCATGGAACAAGGTCTACAGTCCTCTTCTTCGTCCGGCACGCGAAGTGTTCCCCCCTTCACAGAATTCGGCTCCAGATCGTATTGCAGTTTAACCTTGGTGTTTTTGAAGGAATAATCATCCTCAGCTTCCATGTAAAGTGCGGCTGTATGCTTCCGCGAGCGGAAGCATCGATGTGTAAGTTCGTGCTTGCCATCAGACGGAGAATAGAGTTGTCTCAGTTTGCCGCCAGCTTCCAGAAAGACCCGCACAGGCCCAGAGATCTTGACGCAGGCACGGAAACCCAGATAGCTGAGAGAATTGTTCTCCAAGAATGAGATCGGGGAGGAAAGGACCACTCTCAAAGCGTCATGAGGATAACGCCATAGTACCGTTCCTCGAGCACAGCGCAGATACACTGGCCGGACACCACCACTTTCTCCTCCGCTGTACAAAGTATTTACATTCAATTAATACATCTATTTTTATAAATGTATTGCAATGAGAAATAAGGAGAAATAATGTTATTCATTTGAAATTATAGAGAAAAGAAAGAATGACTCATATTAATACTCTGCCATATGTTTAATTGAAAATGTAATTGAAATTATATTGAACATAAATATATATCTCTCTCTCTCTTTCATTATTTTATATTATTAATAAAAAGTATTCCTATCCATATTCACAAGTTCAGTAGACCTTGACTTTTTTCAATAATATTACAACAATTGTTTACTTTATACAATTTCAATACATAATATTATTCCTCGAATTTTGATCTACAAAATAAAAAAATCCATGTTCAATCACGTTAACTTCAAACAAAGATACATTTATTTAAAATACTGGATCTGCAATTATCAGTTCAGGAAATTTCAGAACAAATATCGGAGCAAATGATTGGTGTTAAGAAATTGAAGTGGAGCGATTTATGTCCGACTACACAACCGGCGACTTGTGAAGTCACATCAATCGCGCGCTTGTTACGGCACTGACGTGAAAGTTCGTGAAACGCAGAGAGAGAGAGAGAGAGAGAGAGAGAGAGAGAGAGAGAGAGAGAGACTGTGTTACAGTAAAAAATACAAACCTTCCAGACCAGTCACACTGATCCGCGGCGGTATGCTCGTAGGCGGATACACTGACGGAGATCAGAGCGAGAACTACAATTGCTGCGTATACCATTTTTCTTTTTTTTTTTCTCTCACAACGTTACAACGTTCGTCGTCAAGATGATATGTCACATCTTCGTTGCTTCGCGAGAACTTCCGCGGAAATTAGATCGTAATAAATCACCTCTTTCTATCCACATTCGAATTAAGTACTCTTAGAACCAGACCCCCTCTTTTTTTATTCTCCTGGATAGACTTTTGAATCACCTAGAAGGATCACAATATCATGCGTGATGAATCAAAGGTGGATTAGATGATTCAGTGTTTAACCTCTTCGAGAAGAAAAACTCCCCGTCTTGAAATCTTCAATCTCTCAGTTGTTTGTAAATCATTTCTGTCGGAAGAAACTTAGCTGTTCACGAGTCCCTGAGGAATTTTAAGAATCTCAGAGGATACATTCGAGTGATGTATTTACGGCCGGTACTCTTTTCGATATTTTTCTTTTTCTTTTTCTAATCTCCTTTTTAATTACCTACTAAAAGATTCTCTTAAGGCAAATCATATCTGTATGCGATAATGGAAGAAAACTATCAAGACATTCCTGGCAGTGCTGAGATTAAAAAATCTGGTACCTGATATGAGAATTCCTTCTATTATAGACAGCTATTTTGTCATTAAGCTACGCAACAAGGACAATACTCACTGCTGTACTTAATGTACATATTTCTTACAGTACCACAGCTTAAATTGGATCAACGTGAATCAATGGTCCAGTAAGCAACAGTTTGCCTTCTCGGAGATAAAGGAAGCACTTTGATTGTATCGATATCTTTCCAGATGGTCCATAATATCTCCTTCGTCGATACGCCGAGAGTGTTGAGCAATACAGGAGTCTTTCGAGAAAGATACGCGACATGTACGCGGAAGGAGCAAGGTGGTTCCCCTATATGGCGGTCCCGCGAGAATGCATTTGAAGAGGAATGTAAACAACAATCTCGTCGATCATCAAAGATCGTCCCCTCGCGTTCCTCGCACCGCGCATCACTCCGTCATGTCGACGAGTCCTCGTACGAGTGGATCCTGCACGTCCCTCGAAAACGAGAACTGGACGTGACTCGCACACACTATACACCGCTTCCTCCGATTTCCTTTGAGGTCACGTCCAGTCACGTCGGAACCACGAGAGCACTTCCTCTATTCCGAGATATCCCTTCGATTCTCCCACTCTTCACTCTAACGGCACATGCGCAGAGAACAAGAACGCGCGGTTTCTACGCGCGTCTCTCGTTATTTTATTATTATATCTACATTCTACGCGATCGCCAGGCGTATACGTTCACCGATTACGAGGTTCACCCGCATATCCCCTACTAGATCCTAAATCGCCCGGTCCACCGTTCACCGACAGACTAGGAAAGATCAGGTTCTCCTCGCTGGACTCGAAGAACGGGATCAGGGTTGTATCATATTTCAAAATTTATATGTTTACATAGAAATTTTACGTAGTATTTACGTTAAGCACGTATTGTTTACGTTTGTATTATGTATAAATAATATAAAATATTTAATCCATGCAGCATGAAATATTTTAGAAATATTTTGTAAAATATTTCATTGAAAAAATTTGAAATATTTCAGAAGTTTTCATGAAATCTTTTTAGAATATAAATACCTATGTCTAGAAAATTAGTTTTTGAAATATTCTTTTTCTTACAATAATATATATTTATACAATATTTCTGAAATATATTTTATTAAAATATTTCAAAAAATGATTCGTATAAATATACATATATTTTATATGTGGAAAATTATAAATTTAATAAACGATACAAAAAGAAATATTAATATTAAGTTCTATGGTTGTTATAGCTGATTTTAATATTGATAAATAAAAATATTTATATATAAACAAAATACAAGAGGATTAGTATAGTCTCGTGCAACGATAAAGAATATACAGACTTTAATAACAATCCAAAGATTGTTTACATAGATGATAATATAATTTACATAATATCACATTTTTCTTTCTTCTCTCCAACGTGATGACTCTGAAGAAATCAGCTGAAAAGAATATTAAAATATAATAATTAAGCAAAATACCAGAATTACCTGAATATGTGTCAAATAATGTTACAATGAAGATCGTATTTATTCTTTTAATATTTCGCCAATTTGAATTTACATTGTTTAAATTTAAATATTATTTTATTTAAAAACTACATCGATAAGTGCGCTCATTCTTTGTTTCAACTGCCGGTAATTATCGATAATGAGAATTTTCTCATCAAGTTATCTACAGAGTTTCAATATTGAAGTGGCGCTGAGCACGTACATCAAAAAAGCCATAATTGCTTGTTTCTTTGTTACGATTGTCATGTTTACATTTCCTAATTGGAAATAATCTCTGTATCACGTTGAAGTGGCTCGACTCGAAATATGGCCAAGACAAAAACAATTAGCAAGGGATGCCCCAAATGCGAGCAGCAGGTATTTTAGATAAATTCTCGTCATGTATAATAATTCATACATTTTTTTTTATAATTATTTCACACACATATACGTCTTTCGTATATTTGTGAAGTTACGTACGTCTTATTTATGTAATGTAATGATTCACGTTTGTCATGAAGAATGTAAATTTATTTTTATTATTTATTGAACTTTTCTGTATAATACTTACCTTATATTTATTAATTAAATTTCTTCAAAATTTTATACTGAAATTATACGCTAAGTATCGAATAAAATATGCGAATTTTTTTTGTAGACAAATGATGCATAAATGCATTCTCTCACCGAGGTTTTATTTATTAATTGAGAGCGGTTATTAAATTATTATATACTTGTATATTATTTCCTACTTTTTTAAGAATCTTATTAATAATATATTATTTTAATTTTCATTAATTTTGATTTTAATTTTCATTAACTTTGAAATATGTTATATTTTCCCTTTGCTGATATTTATTGAAATATTTGAAATTAATTGCATTCTATGCTAAATCGATATTAATAAATTTGACTATTTCTCTTATAATAAGGTACCTGTTGCTTGTAAAGCTTGTCCTTGTGGACATTCTTTTTTTAATGCAAGACGTAATTCTATCAAAAGTCCACCCAGTCCTGACAGTGGAGTGATGAAAACAAGAAGAACAAATCGCATTAAACGCGAGAAGCCAAATTATTATGACGCTTTGGAATATGATAAGCAGATGAAAAAAAGTGCCAAGGTAGAATAGAATATTGTTTTTAATATTAACATTTTGTGTACATATAGATTTATTAGATCATAATTCTGTTTTAACTTGTATTATTGCTATACACAACATATTAATATTTGTAATATATATAATAATGTAATATAATGTAATATGTAATATATCTAATATATATAATAATATTGTATTGTAATACATTATTATATCATTTGAAAGACTACTTGATATTTTTAATGCATG